GTGTGACATAACCCTTAGAATTTAGAACTAGAGATGGAAATTAGTTTATGTCTCTCATCAAATATTTAGAACAACCACTATCAAGATACCATAGATTTATAGTGGTCTTCAAGTAAACCTACAAAACAAATTAAGTGTTGTTTGGTACCCAATATGCCTTGGGTCCTTCATAATTAGTTTATTTCTTGATCCACACATAATGTCCATTTTCCACACTAAAGTTCCTTACATAGCAAGAATTAAGTGTGTGACGAATTATACCACAATAAAAACATGTAGAAACAAAATTACTTCTATATCTAGGAATATAATACTTTTTCTTAAATCTCTTCTTAGGATGATTATGAAATTTTTGTGCTTTATTCACTTTCTCTTGGGTGGATTGATCACTTGCTTTAACAAATATAGTTTTACTTGTACTTGGTTTGTTAAAATCACAATAGCCAAGTCCAATTTTATCATTGAAATAACTATGTTGACTAAGGACACCATTCAAACCAATTTTTCCTTTTTCATATCTTTCAAAAGATCTTTTTAATTGAATAATTTGAAAATTAAGTGAAACACACTCTTTTCATGAAAAAACTCTTATTTTCTTTTTCAAGAAAAGTTTGTTTTTCAACATCAAAATCTTTTTCCATGGTGTCAATCTTTTCTTCAAGAGATAAGATTTGTTTTTTTTGTGTTGATATTGTTTTATATAGAATTTTAAATTCATTAAGTAATTCATCAATATCACATAGTGCATCATTATCATAAGAAGATATTTCATTACTAACCTCTTATTCTTCATCATCAAAATGATTTGTTGCTATCACTTCAAGATTTACATGTTATTTATCTAAAGACGAACTTATTTCATTATCATCTCATGTAACATATGCTTTCTTTGGCCTTTTTCCTTATTTCTTTTGAAGTATTTATTCTTCTTTTCAAATGCATGGCATTTACTTTTAACATGTCCTTTTTCTCCATATTCAAAGCATGTAACCTTTCTTGTTGGTGCTTCCCTTTTAATGGTCTCCTTTTTTCTTTCTTTTCTTAGAAACTTTTCAAACTTCTTGATAAGATCATCATCTTCATCACTCTTGACTGCTATCATAATTTTCACTCACATTTTTAAAGCAATGTATTTTGAATCTTTTACTTGAATTTCATACTTTTCAAGTCTTCCAAGTCCCGTCTCATGTTCTTGAAGTTTTTCGAACAATGTTGCGGAAGTCAATTTGGATATATTTTTCTTCTCGGCTATTGTCGTCACTTTTGGTTGTCATTTTCTGGTTAGAGATCTAAGCACTTTAAAGTTAAGTTCATAATTAGTAAGAGTCTTACCAAGTGCTTTCAAGTGATTTGTCAAATGCACATATTTTTCTACAAGTCAAGGATTGATTATCTGGGTTGTATTCTGAATAATTCTCATTCTTGACTCAAAGTGTTAAGTCTAGATCTTTTAACTTCAGTGGTTCCTTCATGAGTTTCCATCAATATATCCCATATTTTCTTTACCGTTGTGCATGCCAAAATACGAAAAAATTCATCCATGCTAAGTGCATCTTGAAGAAGATTTATTGCTTTCTTATCATAGATAACTTTTTTCTCATCATCTTTATCCCATGAACTTTCGGGTTTGGGGGTGCCAACACCATTAACAACACTGGTAGGAATGAAAGGACCATCTACAACTGCTTTCTAAACTTCTTTTCCTTGAGATTCTAGATGCGCCTTCATGCGTATTTTCCAAAAATAAAAATATTCACCACAAAACAATGAAGACTTGATATTGCTACCACCGTCTTTGAAAACCAAATTTGCATTTGTGAAAGCCATTATAGATCTTTAGGAACATGTTACATATAACTTGCTCTAATATCGATTGTAAGTACGAAGTGCGTCTAAGAGGGGGGGGGGGGGGGGGGGGGGGGGATGAATTAGGTGTAATAAATTTTTTCTGATTTTTAAAAATGTGTTTCTTTCTTTTATAGTTATGATTTATGATGAAAACGGTAAATACAAAAATATAAATAACACCAAAAATTTATCCTAGTTCCCCTCACAATCCGAGAGTACATCTAGTCCCTTTACTACATGTAAGAGATTTTATTATTGTTAGATCTTATGGAAAATACCCTCCTAGTCTTCCTATCTAACAAAATCACCAAGAACAATCCTCTTGTGATCAACCAAGTTGAAATGAGAATAATTCCCTCATATTCAACTTTATTACTTCCAACAATCTTGGACAACAAGATATAAAACTAAACAAGTAGAAAAAGAAAACAATCTTTTCTTTCGCACTCTCTTGTTTCTAACAATCCTGGATAATAAGGTACACAAAATAATTCTGAAAAATATATAAGAAAATAAAGTTGATGAATATTTATCAATCACTAAGATTTATCTTCCTTTTCAAGTAAGCAATTCACAATAATATACAAGTGTTCAAATATTTATGTTTAATGCTGAAATTTTTTTGGGATGATATGAAAAAGTATGCAGAAAGTTTCAATGAAAGTTCAAGACACAACGCACTTGTTTTTGAAAAATTATAGAGTAATTGATTTGAATTGCAATGGAAGAGGTGTAGAATTGCATTATGATATGAGCAATATTTATATCAGTATCATACCATTTCGAAAGAGTGCATTTTGATCAAACAATACAATGGTTAATGGTACAAAATCAAAAAACGTTTGAATATGAAAATGCATGAAAAATGTTATTAGTTCATTGGTAACCAGTTACGTAAAAGGACGTAACTAGTTACGCCTGAAGTGTTACTAAAAAGAATTTAAAAATTTACGTGTGTAACCGATTGCCAGAAATGGTGTAACTAGTTACATTAATTCTGGTAACCGGTTACACACGCAAATTTTAAGAGGAATAATGCATATACATGAAAATGTTAAGAAATTTTGAGCACTTAAATATCAATATGATATAATTGCTTGCTTGTACCTCAAAAGATATGATCAACCAAAAACATTCAAAGTTAGTCTTCATAAATTGAATGATATTTGAAACTTGATGCTTTAGCTTTGATTTGAGGTTTTTTTTCATTCTTTTGCTATGATCATTTGTTTCTAAGCTTGTCTTCATCAAAACTAATAGTTGAGGAGGCTTGACTTCACACCCATCTTAGAGGATGTTACGAAGGATTATGTATTTTGGAAGGATGAGTGAGATGACATTTATATTGTTAAAATAAATTATAAACTCTGGTTGTAGGAGCTTCGTCACTTTAAAGGTAAAAGGGTGGAGGGAGATTATGGGAGTCTATGAAAAATTAGAGCACCACCAAAAACCAAACACCTTCTCTGGCACTTAGGTTGTGGTTATTTACCTACTAGAAGCAAGTTGTAGGAACACTACTTCACGTGCCCCTATAGTTACCCGTTGTGTGATGTAGAAGTGGAAAATGCTTGACACATTTTTTGACTGCACGTTAACGTCTTATTGTTGGAATGTTGCAGGTTTGGATCATGTTGTTAGACCGCGAATTACTCAAATGAATGAGGTGAGGAAGGTAATACAAGATATTTGTAGCTAAGGTGATAATTATGATTTGGGTGATGTGAAATAATAGAAATAACTGGATTTGGATTGAGGAGAAGAAGGATGCTAACTAATTGGATATGCAAAGGGTATCATATGTGGAAAGATTGGTACACGAATCAAGATTCTCAAGGGATAAACAGTGAAGGTAACAATTAGAACCATCATCATCATACTTGGCAACCACCTCAAGTTGGTTGGGTGAAATACAATGTGGATGCAATGTTTAATGACCACCTAAGTACGACTAATTGAGCCTGGTGTGTTAGAGACAACTCGGGGGGTTTCATTCTGGCGGGTACTGCGTGGGATTATGAGCTTTATTCTATTGTTGAAGCGGAGGCGTTGACTTTGAAAGAAGCGATCCAAGGAGCCATTCAGTTGAACTTAAGTAATATTACTTTTGAAAGTGATTCATAATTGGTGGTTCAAGCTATTAACGCTAACTCCTACGGTAACTTTGAATTTAGCATGATAATTACTAGCATTAAGAATCTTTTAACCTTTCACAATAACTTTGAGGTCAAATTTGTAAAGCGTCAAACAAATTGAGTAATCTATAGTTTAATTAAGGTGGTCAATTCTTAATTCGACGTATGATTCTATATTTGAGTCCTCCTTATATCAAACGATTTTTACATAATAATATGAATTGAATTTTCTTTGGTAAAAGAAAATTATTCAAGATTGTATATAGAAGAAAACAATAATACTACTAGTATGCACGGATATCCATTTCCTTATTGTAGCCAAATATTACATTCACTAACCAATAAATGAATCTCATCTAGGATATAAAGAATTCAATAATAACATGTCTTGTGATCTATTACACAAAATAAATACATTATAACTAGAATTAAAATAAAAAAAGAGAATAAAAACCAAATTTCCCTAACTAGAGTTAATGAATGTAATAAAGATTATTTTATGATAACTAGAATTAATGAGTGTAATAAAGATTATTTTATGATAAAATTCAAGATTGCATATAGAAGAAAACAATAATACAACTAGTATGCAGGAATATCTATTTCCTTATTGTAGCCAAATATTACATTCACAAACCAATAAATGAATCCCTACCATACAAAGAATTCAATAATAATATACCTTGTCATCTATTGCACAAAATAAATACATTGTAAACTAGAATTTAAAAAAAAATCAAATCAAATCTCCCTAACTAGAATTAATGAATAATAAAGACTACTTTATGACAAAATGTCAAGGGTTGTAGAGTTGAAACGAGTAGTAGGCAAGCAACACCTTGAAATGAGTCATGTCCTAGTCAGTGATGCCAAATTCATGGGCCATATTTAAAAATTGTCATGCTAAATAGTCAAATTTGTAAAGAGGGGGTCCCATATAATGGCCAATGAAGATGGAGGGTGTGGCCATATTGATATGATTTATGGGCCCAAGGAATGGAGGAGTGATTAGAAGAGTTAGCATAAGTGCCAAATGGCCGTAGTAATGGTAATAATGCAGGCAATAATTTGAGAATGGAGCAGCACATGGGTGCACATGGCTTCTGAGATTTCACTTTGATTATAACCACCTTCATACACCATTGTGTTGTCATTGTTAAGCTGAGGTGTGGCAGAGTTGGATTTTGAAGAAGATGAACTTTCCTGTTTTGTGTCTTGCCCTTGTGTTGCCTTTTGACTGAAAATACAATAGAAAAAATATTCAGAAAACTACAAAAGAAATCAAAATGCATTAACAACTAACTGTACATAATGTAAAAATACGAGTCGCAATGTAATTTGTCTAATGGTTGTGAAGTTCAGCACTTTGGTTATTTTGATGACAGTTGACATAGTATTGAGTATTGACAATAAAGTTGTGTAAGTAACGATACCCTTGGCATGTGTGCCACTAATATTAACATTTTTAATTATTCTAACTATATATACTTCATCTCACTTGATTATTCAACTAATTTAAATTAATAATTAAAATTAATATATTTTAATAAATAAAACTCGTATTATAATTATAATTATGATTAATCCAGTAAAGTAGTAGTATTTGTACTAGTATTGATTGTTTTTTTGATTGGGTCACATTCATAATTAATTTTGCCACCATCATTACTCCATCTACCACATTTTGCTTACTAGATTGCTTGCAATTGCAAAAAAAAATGGTTTCTTTGAGTACATCAAATATCTCTTGAAACTGAATACACACCCAATCATGGTGGCTAAAAAGTAAACATTTATTTCATCTACTTTCCTACTATTACTCTATCAATTTTAATCAATTTTATACTTCTATATGTTTTAGAGAAATAAGTCCCACCTAATATTCACCTACTCAAAAGTTAATATTTTTTTGCTATATTATTCTTTTATCATACTTTTTGCTATATGAATTTTAATCAAATTATACAACGGTAAATTTCTGACCGTTATTATTTAGAGAGTAGTAAAAAATTGAAAAGACGTAACTGACCTTGTAGTTGGAGAAGAACAAAAAGTGATGGTATAATCTATAGCATTTGCACAAGTGAAAGTACTAGTTTTATCATCATACGCGTAGCTATACGCGCGTGGGCAAGCGTTTTTAAACAACTCAGAGTAAGAAGAAGGTTTGCAAGTATCAGGAGTCCCAAACGCGCCGCTGCAACAATACTCGGGCGAATTAAAAGCCTCACACGCGCTCTTACACGCGACGTTCTCTTTCCCATCCAAACTCATAACACTAAGCTCCGAAGGACACGCGCCGTTGAGATCTTCAATACACCCCGTCGTGGTGCATTTATCGCCGGTGCCACCTTGAGGGGAAACTAACATAGGGACATTGTAGCCGTCGACGAGACTGACGTCGAAGAAGTCAAGACCACCGGATCCGTCTAAAGTGAACTCTGCCAATGTTGCCGGCGGTGCGGCTCCGTTACCGGAGCATTCGATTTTGCCGGAGCCGCAATCTCCGGTGAGGCAGGAGAATTTTCCGGTAGTATCTTGGGAGCAGAGAGTTCTTCCCCAGAAACGACCGCCCCAGGAGGTTGGAGCGGTTACGGTGGTTGATTCGCCGGTTTGAAGAACGAAACCGGTGGTCGGAATAGGTGGAACTCCGGCATTTGAGAGAAGTCCTGGCCAGACTGTGTAGTCACATTTGTTAACAAATGTGAATGTTGTTGAAATTACACCTGCATATATGTTAAAATTAAATCATATTAATCAAATTTTACTAGTATAGTGAAAAATATAATGTTAGTTTGGCTTAAAAATCTAAATTACCTGATATTGATAAATGAATTGTTAGTAAGAATGAAAAAATCGATAGTACTTGGTGGTGGTGATCCATGTATAGATATAGAAAAAAAACAAGTTATGAATGAGTAAATTTGAGAAAATGAAATGGGAGAGAGGGAATTGAGAATTATGAAGTGAGGAGGAGAAAGTATTTATAGAAAAGTAAAGGAGATATTTTTATGGGAACTCTTTGGTTGTAACGTGATTTTTTTGTTGGTGAGACAGCATCTGACCAAAGGAACGTTGAACGTTACTTTTTTGTTTTTTTAATTCAGAAAATGACAATTCTAGTATGATGGATTTGTATTGTTGGCTCAAGGTAAAATAAATTTGGGTTAAATTGGTTAATATCATACAACATGTGAATTCGAATAGAATCTACTAGTAGCAGCAACTAGCAACTAATGTGGAACTTTGAAGCATACTTGTAGTTTCTCAAATTAGGATATGTAAAAATTCTTTCGCTAATCTTAATAAATATTTTAGAAATATTCATCAATTTCGACATTTACATAAGTTAACACACTTTTTATACAAATGTTTATCCACAAGTATACTTAAATTGACTCAAAGTGTAAAGAACAAATGTGTGATTGAATTTCAATTGAATCTTGTTGTGTAGCTTCTCCGAATCCAAGCAGCTACTTGTAGTTGCCAGCAACTGTGTAACCTTTCCAGCAGAGATAGCAAATGGATAATAAAAAGTGAGTTTTATTTGACCTTTTTCAACTTTGACTCATTTCAGACCAATATAGATATGCTCTATATCAATATCATCCATTATTAATGATATCTTATGTTTAGTGTTAGACTTATAAACACCAACTTTTGACAATTTTTTCACAATTGTTCAATGTTTGTTTTGCCAGTTGAGTAGCTGAGTCTACTGTTCAAGTTAGCTTCAACTTCCCACTTTCTGATTGGAATAATTTGTATTTACTAATTTACTATGGTTGCATATTTCAGTTTCTGCTGCAATTAAAAGTTTTCATAGGAGGAATTAGATACTTGCCATGAAACTAAGTCACATAAGAGAACAACCTCTAACATTTACACAAGAGTCACAAAGGTATTAATCTTAATTACATGACCGTTTTTGAGGACGTGCAAGACGGTTTATGACACATGATTTCAAATTTATCACAGTTAACTTGTGGTTAAATAGACCTTTATAAAAACTTTATCATTGTTAAAATGTTGTTAAATAAAACCTCTATGTATTTTTTCATAATTAAATTAGAACTAATTTACAAAGTATGTTTAAGAAACTTGAGACCACTCTATATTGTAACTTAATAGAGTGGACAAAAATCACACCAAAACACTGCGACAAAAAGATATCTAATTTCCAACAATGTCAATGTCTATTATCTAACAATTGAGTTGGAAAACTGAGCATAGCCAGAAAATTCATTCATCTTGTTATAGATGCATTGAAGCTTAATTTAATTCAGCACTTTGCATTTGGAATTAGGTGAAATAGATAGAATACATTAGGCCAAATTTGGTTTATGATTGAGCACTTGAAATTGCAGCTGAAGTATTGGAAAATTTTGAAGACAATATGCTTCAGGTTATGTTGCAGTCCCATATCAAATAATTTGGTAATATTGGAATAATTGGGCGCTATAAGAAAAGAAGATTAAAACCAGTATAGAACCATGATCCTTCAGGCAGAAACGGAAAATGAGGAGTGGTCGAGTCTCGCAATTAATATGCGAGTTGGGTGTCTGCCCAAAGCCTGGTTACAACAATTGGGCACTCTCCTTTAATCAATCTGATCCCTAAATGTCCAACCCCCAACCCCAAAGGGTTAATTAAGTTATAACTTTTATAATTAAATATTTAATTTAATATTTCTTTTGTAGGAATAACAGTAAATTAATTAATGTTACAAAATCTTTCGGGAAATAAAAACATCAACTCACTCTTTATCAGTTGAGTTGAGATACATACATAAAATATCTTTTTAACTATGTAGAAAATTTTGGACTAACATAGGTCTTTTATATAAAATATACTAGTTCTTCCATAGTCGTCGACATATTTGAGAAAATTATTTCATTACAAATGTTTTAGATGATTTCAACCGCCAAATGTCAAATCACAATAAAGTAGACATTTAACCCTAACCCAACCCTTAAAAGCTCTTACAACTTCGAATACAAGGCACGCTAGTTTGTTAAAAGCTCTTATACCAAACATTCGAAATAAACATCATATTATTGAAAGTATAATTATTTGTGTCGAAGTAGGTTATTTTTTGACATAAGGTGTGTCGAAATTAGTCTGTGTCGAAGTGTGTCGACTTGTGTTAGCTGTCAGTGTCGAAGTAGGTTGTTTTTCACATGATTTCGACTAAGATTTAAAATAGGTATTTTGAACTTTTATGTTTTTGACTTTGGTTTAGGGAGCAAGCTAACCTAAAATATGAGAGAGAGAGAGAGAGAGAGAGAGAGAGAGAGAAACTCCTATTTTTGTAATGAACTCATAATAACTTGTATTCACATAATTTTATAGTTGCAAAGTGAATAAAATTTTTCCATAGTTTGTTGGCAGAGAGGAACTCTGTAAAAACCCTAATCTCTTTTCTTCTTTAAATTTTCTTTTCATTATCATTGTGAGGTGATAACAATCTTATTCATCAAGATTAGTAGAAATTCATCATAGACTTTGGTGGATTTCCAAGATCTGATAAAGAGTTTCGGTTGAGCGGTTCAAGACAAGCAAAAACGATGGCAATGAATCATCCGAATCAGAATTTCCTAGCAAGTCTTCCAATTCTTAAAGTTGTTAACTATGAGAATTGGTGCAAGCAAATAAAAGTTGTGTTTTATTGTCAAGATCTTTGGGATCTTGTGAAACATGGATTAGAACCACTTGAAGAAGACGTTTCATAAGAAAAGGCATAATAAAAAGAATCAAATAAGAAGAATTATAAATCCCTCTTCATAATTCATAAATGTCTGAGTCCAGACAATTTCAAAAAGGTTAGTGATATAAAATCTGTAAAAGAAGCTTGGGAAGTTTTGAAGAAATCGTTTGGAGGCGCTGAAAATGTGAAAGAGGTGAGGTTACAAACTCACAAAAGAAAGTATGAATTGCTTCAGATGAAAGATAGTGAAGCATATATGATTTCTTCACTAGGATTATGAAACTAGTGAATCAAATCAAGGTTTGTAGAGAGACGTTAACAACAAGAGCAGTTGTTTCAAAGATCTTGATATCTTTGGCTTTGAAGTTCGACCATGTGGTAATTTCCATAAAAGAGTCGAAGAACATGTCAACTTTGTCGAAGGCAGAGCTTCAAGGGACACTTGAATCTCATGAACAAAGAATGACTGAAAGAGCTGCAGGAAAGTCAAAGAGTGATGTGACTTTACAGGTGCAGTCAACAAGAAACAAGAAAGGCAAAGGAAAGTGGTTCGACAACAAAGGTAGATGAGGCTACAACAATTCAACTGATGAAGGAGATCAGCAGGAAGTAATCGTGTCGAATTAGAGAAGACCCCAATATCAAGGCAACCAAAGATGTGGCGCTGGAGGTAGAGGAAGAGGTGGTGGTCGAAAGAATGACAAGAGTCACATTCATTGTTTCAATTGTCAAAAGTATGATCATTATTCTAGTGATTTCCCAGAAAAGTGAAAGAATCAAGAAAGCGATGCTAAGTTCGCAAAGTATGAAGAAGAAGAGATGATGCTGATGGTCACAACTAGAGATTAAGAGAAATTTAAGGACCAATGGTACTTGGATTCAAGATGCTCATCACACATGTCTGAAAGGAAAGATTGGTTTGTCAACATAAAATCCTCAATGAAGAACATGGTGAAATTAACAAATGACAATACTCTAGTAGTTGAAGGTATTAGAGATGTTTTTATTATAAAGGAAAGATGGCAAGAAGTCAGTAGTTTCCAAAGTGTTGTATATACCAGGCATGAAGAGCAATTTGCTCAGCATATGGCAGCTGTTCGAGAAGAATTATAAAGTGTCAATCAAAGACAATATGATAAGATTCGTCGACACAAATGAAAGGTTAATCTTGAAGGCTCCCAGGTCTCAAAATAGAACCTTTAAGATTGAAATAAATTTGATGGAGCACAAATGCTTAGCAACTGCAGCTAGCGGAGATGAGTGGTGTTGCACCCCAAAATTTTCTCTCTCATGTTTCCCAAGGTTTTTTCTCTTATATAGGTGGTTACAAACACTTTCCTAAAGAAAATGAAAATTTTTAATGTTAGCAAAGTGTCTTTCGATTGGCAGTTTAACAATGTCCTTTGATTGGTATCTAAACAGTGTCCTTCGATTGGCATAACAACAAGCTTCGACTGGGCTCCTAAAAACCCTTCGACCAAGCATTGGCCCATCAGCTTCAATTGTGCGTTGGTTCCCCTTCGAGCAAGCTTTGGTCCATGAGTATCATTTCAGTAGTGCCCTCTGTGCGTGCCTTCAGCGCACTAGGCAAATACTCCCTTTGTGCGTGCCTTTAGTGCACAAAGCAAGAATCCCCTATAATTTTGCTTCGATACACCAACAATGAACTCCTACATACAAGCTTTAATTGGGCGCTGAATCTCCTTCGATCAAGCTTAATTCACAAAACTCCCTCATACTTGCCTTAGTTTCACAAGGCAAAGACCCATCAACTTTCCTTTGATCTATAAGGCAAAAGGCCCTTTTCACTGGTCTTCGATTCACAAGACAAAGGGCTATGTTGTACCCCAAAATTTGCTCTCTCATTTTACTCAACAAATGTCAAGTGAGGTCCCCAATTTGCTTAAGGTTGTCCAAGAGTTGACCAGACAAACTCTCTTCTAAGGCAGCATACATCAAATTAGGGTTTCCATCTTCATCAAGATGTGTGAATCACAAAGGACTCAAATACTCACCATTTTCCTAATATGTTCTCAAGATCATCCATGTCAAGTTTCAAGCCTTGCAGAAGAAGTTTGCTCAGTCAATTGCTTAAATGCTTGAAAATCAATTGTACTAGGTCAAAAGTCAATTGTGGCCCACATACAATCAAACTTCAATATTTTTGGTCAAAATCC